GGCTATTACCCACTTTCACCCTTGAGAATATCTTACTTAATAATCACTTCCATCTATCATCTATAATACATTCTTTATGTCTTGTCTGAATGCTTTGACAAAAATCCCAAAGACTGGGGTGTCACAGAAAGGACAGAGCAAGACATATCTAACCACAAATAGCAAGAGGGGAAAACTGAAATAGGGAAAACCTATAGGTCAATGGGAGCAATAATCCAGAAGTCCTTTTCTCAGTTGGGAGGAGTAATTAGTCCTAATATGGAGGAACTTATCAACTCTTAAAAGACCTAAAAGGGTCAAATTTCTTCTATACAACTTGCCTGCATTCTAGAAAAAATGCTCAAAACTATTTATAAAATTATAATAATGTCCAATGCCCTCAAAGATAGTATCTGCCATGTTTCCCATCTACTCAAAAATTAATTGACAGGCAAAATGACAGGAAAGAAACATTTGTGAAGGAATAATGATCACTTAAAACCAGACATAAATGTTGGGGAAAATAAGAATATGTAAATAATGAACATAACTACATTTCATGCATTCAGAATGTTAAATTAGAATATAGAAAGTGTATGGAAATGATTCACATCAAAGTTCTAGTGATGAAAACTACAACATGTGGCAAGAAAAAAATCACAGATAATCCCATTAAGATGCCATATCTAGATTTATAGAAGTATGAGTAGTAACCTATAGATTACTTTTGAAAGACTCTCTCTTGCCATTCTCCCAATGCATTCATCATAAGCAATTACATAAGAAGAGGTAAAGAAAGAACATCACATAGAAGAAAACAGGTAGCTTATGAAATGCATATTTACATAAAATTTCAGGAAATAATACCAGGAACTATGTATATTATGTGTAACCATCATGTGTGATTAGGGGTTGCTCTGGCAGGAAAATAAAGTATACAAAACCCATTTTACTCTGTCATCAACTTTTGTTACCTAGTTCATAGACTCTCAGGGTCTGTGGTCCTCCTGCAGCCGGGGACTGTCAATGACCCCCATGTGGCAATGAAGGGCCATGGGGATGTCCATGGGCCACCGTGGGCCATGATGATGTGAAGGGTCTGCAAAGTTACCTGAGGTTATGCTGATGTCCATGGGCCTGACTTCTGTTGGGGACTATGTTGATGTCACTGGCCCATGTTGCCCTAGAGGCTGTGTTGACATCCTAAGCCTGTCCTGGTGCTAAGGATTATGATGGTGTCCCTGGCCTATCCTGCAGCAGAGGGCCATGTTGATGTCTGTGGTCTGTACTGCCACCAGAGACTATGCTAAGGTATATGGCACATGCTGACACCAAAGACCATGTAAATATCTGTAGTTCGTGCTGTTGCCAGAAACCATGTGGAAGTCCATGGTTTGTGCTCCCGCTGAATGTAAAAGACAATAAAGCTACTTTTGCCATGGTATTGATGACTGTAGACTGACAGTTGAGAAAGAATGATACAAAAGGCTTCTGTGACAACCCTTGCCCCCACCCAACCCCCCCCAAAAGTAACAGCCTTGACAGGAAACCATGGAAGAGAACTCTAAAATTGTGAGGAGGATGCTGAAGTGTAGCTCTCCACAACTCTAGCAGGAGTCTGTGTTGGGGAAGGACTCAGTTTTCTTAAAGGAACTGGTTACTGGAAGTTTAACCATGCTCCATTGGGTGTACAGGCAACACAAATTGGATGTGTGTGTGTGTGTGTGTGTGTGTGTGTGTGTGTGTGTGTGTGTGTGCTGCTTCTCTCCTCCTCCTCCTCCTCCTCCTCCTCCTCCTTCTTCTTCTCCTCCTTTCTCTTTTTCATTCTCTTCTTCTTTTGGTGGAGAGATCACAAGGGTTGGGGCAGATCTGGGAAGACTGGGAAAAGAGTGTGATCATGGTTCATAATGTGAAATTTCCAAATAGTCAATTAAAATGTTATATTGAGGGAAAAAGATTGGATGGTTGCAAATAAAATAGAAATAATAATAATAATAATAATAATAATAATAATAATAATAATAATAGAGTTCCAAGAAAACAACAAAATCCCCCTAAAAATTACTAGGTACATTATGGGTCTAATGCTACAAAGTAAAATACAATTTTAAATATACCAATGTATGGGATTATTTTCTGCAGAGGCCTGGGTAGCTGTCACAAAATATCAAACACTAATGTTCACAAGCCATGAGACCCTAGAAGGCAAGCTGAGTTTCTCTAGTGCATTTACTTTGTCTTTAAAAAGAAAAGGGTTAGACTGAATAACTTTATAGATTATTCTAAATTTAAATTTCATTTCAGTCCACTGGCAGTGAGCTTCCAAAGGTTTATTACCAGTTCAACACTTTAAAGGTTTTTATACTGAAAATCACTCATAAGGACAATGGGAGTTCCATTACTGTTTAGGTTTTCAAATTCTCTAGTCAGTGCTATACACACTTGCATGCTTTGTCTACTAGGACATTCACAAAAGCTCAAAACCTCTGGGAGTTATTGAAAAGAAATGGTCTCTCTGAACTGTGGAGCAGGAGAAAAGAAAAACCTCAGCCCTTTGCCACTCATCTGCTTCACTCTTCGGCCTCCACATCTTCTCACACATAGCAGCAATTGGGAGTCTGAATAAATGGGCATCTGGTAAACCTAATAAATGTACTTTGAATTTATTATATAAGCTCATATTAGATAAAAACTCTATATCACTTCTTCAAAATCACAATTACCTTCTCACATTGGCATGCTTTTTGGGACGCAGAAAAGTAAAATGATGTCTACATGTTCACATAGCACATGTTATATTAGCCAACACTAAGGATGGAGCTGAAATGAAAAAAGAAGCCAAAGGTGATTTTACAAAGGAATCGTAGAAAATAATAGTACATTTGAATTGTGTGCAGCCTTTCACTTCAACTCACCTTACTGCCAAGTGACAATATAAAACGTTTCATACATGCCGGGAAACGTTCTGAATATATAAATTATCTGTGTTATTTCCCTATAGCACATGTTTCTCAGATTTTTCAACAGAACATAAAATACACACGGAAAAAGGATGCCTTTAAACTCTTTAATAAAGCCAAGAACCTCAAGATATATTTCAAAGATGCACAGTAAACTAAAACCACATTCACTTGCATGCTTTTTAATTTTTATTTTAAAATTTTATTTGTGTGTGTGTGTGTGTGTGTGTGTGTGTGTGTGTGTGTGTGTGTGTGTGCTGGTGTATGTACATCGTGAGGGTCAGGTGTGCGATCGTGCATGTGTGGAGGATAAAGGACAGCTTGACTGCATCACTTCTCTCCTTCTCCCATGTGGGTTCCAGCAATGGTCTTCAGGTTTGGATGCAAATACCTTTATTGGCTCTGCCGTCTTACTGGCCCTTTCTCATCATATTTTCATGTAAATTACCATTAAGGAAAAGAGTAATGGAAAGAAAAATGATTGATAACAATATTCTTATCTAAGACAATCCAAGTTAACACTTAAAAGCTTAGATGAAGTCATTCTTAAAAAAAAAAAATCAGTAACGCCTGGTTAATCTTCAACAAAACACAGTCAAAAGACTTGACAATTAAGAGAGAAACATGATAAATGGCTGAGTAGTTAACAAATGCTAGGCTAAACTCATTAGTCTGTGTTTTCACCTAACCCCTTGGAAGAGGACACTCCTGAGAAGGAGGTTATCAGCCAAAGAGCAAAAGGGAACCCTTGTGGCAGAGAGGGCAGATAGGGGGGAGAACAGTTGAAGTCATGATTTCTGCAACACTGACAAACATTCATAATACTGTAGTATTTGCCAACCTCGGCATTCCTGACCCTGACCCACCCTCCTGCATTGCCTTCTGCTCATCAGGTCACCTGTGGACCTTATACTCACTCCAGGTTGTTTCACTGCTCCAAAAACTCATTTGTATATCAACATTGGCCCTTGGCAATCCGATACAATCTATTCTTAGCAGGCCCATCAAGAGAGTGGTCAGCACAGCATGTACTTGAGCAATGGCGGCCACAGTGCAGGTATTAGACTCTGCCTCAAATGTAGGTGGAAAGGGGAGAAAATAGGAATTTCCTCCTTTTTCTTGTTTTCCTTGTTATTTTGTGTTTTTTTTATTTTGTTGTCATAGTATTTAGAGATAGTGTCAGAGCTTCAAAATAATAAAAGGTAACCATCATTCCAATCCAGGTGGTTGAGTCATTAGTTCATTTTAACGGACAGTAGATAATGGTTTTAGAGTCTTAAGCATATTGAGTAGTAATGATTACTTACATCAGAAATTCTGCATCTCTGTTACTGAAGATCAAAATTATACATGTGAAAAACAGCTCTGAGAGGACCGGGAGAGAGAGACTGATGAATGGAAATAATTACTGTTCTAGTGTCTGTGACACTAGGGTGACTTGAGATAAATGTTATGTATTATGTTCTTCAGAGACTTTAAAAAAGGATTCAGAGTGTATTCATCACAAAGATACGGTAAACATTTGAGGAAAGAGAACATTTAACCTGATTCCAATATTACACAACGCACTCATTTTGGGGAGCATCACACAGTACTCCACTAATATGTGTATGCTTCATGTTCTTCTGCACAAGTAAAAATAAAACAGAAAGACTTTTATATTCAGACTACCCATGTGGAGACAATCTCCTTCTGTCCTCAAAAGAACAGCTATCCTCTGCTTCTGAGTGCACTGTTCTAAGGAGGAAAGTGGAAGAAAGGATAGCAGGATGGGGAGGAGTCAGCTGAAGCCCACTACTGTTCACTATTGACCTTTGTGTTATAAGAAAGGCCACCCAGTCAAACTCTGAAAATGCAGTCTCCTTCCTTTGAATTCAAACCAAAACAGAACAACTAGTTAAAAGTAATTCAAGTTACTTCTACTCAATTCCCAAGAATAATGTTTTTTAATAAAATCTGGCATGGCAGGGAGAGTTGAACAAATAAATGAAATGGTGTCAGTGTTATGACTATGCTAGGAGAGTGTGGTTAACCTACTATACAGAAAACATACAAGCATCATTAGCTTATTGCATTTATTTTTTGGTAAAATCCATGCAGGAATGGCCCAGCCAGTAATAGTTGTTTTCATTCAGTGAAACCTAAAGTAATTTTTATGTTGTTTAAGACAGATAAATAAAATTTACAAAAGGAAGTAAAAACACAGTACTGGTACATATGCTATATTCTCTAGAAAGTTATGACACAAGATTTTCAAAATAGCAAATTATTCTTATCTTTTTTTGAATAAGCATAACCTTTACATGTTTTTGAATAAACATAGAGATAAAAATAATGAGAGAGTCAGAAGTATTATTATGTAACTCAAAATGGATAAGTGAAGTATAAAATAACCTCCAGGACATGAAATCCCATTCAAATACTATTACTGAGGATTTTAAAGAATACCAATTGCAATAGAAATACTCACGTCATAGTCAATAGGAAAACCAGGAATTATTTGTGGGAACACTTTATAGTGTGTGCAGTACATATGAATAGGTTATACATTATCTGTAGTTTCTGCTATGCTTTCAATCAGAAGGAATTTTACAATGCTCTTCAAATTCTCTGTAAGTCTGTGTAAATGACCAGGAGCATTTGGTAACATTGATAATAATGAACATTTCATGCCTGAAAGACACAACAAATAACCCACGGTAAGGTTTTCCCACTCTGCAAATGTCTTGAGCAAACTGCTACAGCCTATTTATAAATGTAAAAGAAATAAATCACAAATCCAAGACCCATTCATTTTATTTTACAAAGTTATAATCTGTTAGGAATGTGTCTATCCTATGAAATGATATGGCTTGTATTTTGTTACTCATCTGTTGATAATGTAATTTTAGCCTTTATGCTCAGGTGAAATCACACACATTCTCCAAGAAATATAAGCACTGTAGACATGAGGCTCAAGATCATTAAATGGTTTCAATCTCAAACAGGTAAAATGTGTATGTTGACGGAAACCACACAGAAACTCATTTTGTCAAAGAAAATAAAGTTGATTTTAGTTCTGAAGTGTCATTGGCATGACAACAACCCCCTGCAGAATATATTTAGGGGCTCTGTGAAAAGCAATATTTAATTTTAAACAAGTACGCCAGTGACACCTTCATCCTTACAAATGTGTAACTCATGATTTATGCATGAGAAGGAAAAGATTGCCATCTCCTCAGTGAGTCTTAGTCTAAATGAAACACAAATTCAAAGACATTTACCTTTCAATTTGAGTGATAACAGGTTTTCAAATCTATTTTCCAGTAATTGCTTCAATTTTCTCATTCAGTTTGGCTGGGAATCGCCTGGTTCTCCACACTTTTGTTTTCTGTTGTTTTTTTTTTTTCCTCATTTGCCCTCTAGGCAGAAAGAAAGGACTGAAATTGTGCAAACCCAGCTCTGCTGCAGATTCCTAAAACGAAGAGCAAACAGATGATGGCAGCCAAGAAAACAGTTAGGAGGGACTCTTGGTTACCATGGAATTACAGAGAACTCCAGAAAACCTTGTGTCAACATGGATTTTCAAATGACCAAGGACTGTTGTGAGAGGTTTTGCTGTGAAAGCAAGTAAATACAAAATTTGTTTGGAAAATTTGAAGCTCAGATGGCCACTGGCATGCTGGCCAGACACAATTTCTGATGACTCTTTGCTCTCTGTATGAGTACAATTGACAATAATTGTGGCTCTTGCGACTCTCTCTCTCTCTCTCTCTCTCTCTCTCTCTCTCTCTCTCTCTCTCTCTCTCTCTCTCTCTCTCTCTCTCTCTCTCTCTCTCTCTCTCTCTCTCTCTCTCTCTCTCTCTCTCTCTTTCTGAAGCATTTAGCAGATTTCTGCACCTCATTAACTTCTTAACATTAAATCTTTAACAATTTACAAAATTGAATGCAGCTCGTATAACGTTCATTTTTCCTTTTAATTCTATTCTTCAGTGAAATACCTGTAACTGTCCTCGGAGGGGTGGAGACATACTACAGATATTTATGTTCCCCACTTTGGTTATCAGATGATTGAAACAATGTGTTTTAGTTAGGGTTTCTATAGCTGTGAAAAGACACCATGACCACTGCAACTCTTATAAAGGAAAACATTTAACTGGGGCTGGCTTCTAAGGTTTCTGAGGTTTAGTCCTTTGTCCTCATGGCAGGACATGGGGCTGGAAAGGGAGTTGAGAGTCCTACATCTGGATCCACAGACCGCAAAAGGAGACTGAGATACACTAAGACTTGCTTTAGCTTCTAAGACTTCAAATCCCACCCTCAGTGACACACTTCCTCCAACAAGGCCGCACCTATGCCAACAAGGCCACACTTTCCTATAGTGCCAGTCCTTGTGAGACTCTGGAACCATTTTCATTCAAACTACCACACAATGGAACCCAACAAGCTGGAATTTCTTAAGAGCCTTCTGTTAGAAGAAGGAAAAGGCTGAAATGTGGGGCCAGGCAGAGGAGGAACTTGTCTCCAGGAAAGAGATTCCACACACTTTTAACATCTTATAAACACTTCTAGAAAAGACTAGAAATGAGATAGTGGGGAGGGTCATGGATGGGTAGGAATTCCTGTGACTAGGATTGCTTATTTATGAATATAGTTTTGCCTTCTTTGAAACCTTAACCTTGAAGATGAGCTTGGTAAAGGGGCTGAGGGTGAGAAGGTAGCCCAGCACTCACTGTATTTCTTTCTTCTTGTTCCCAATATGAACGCACTGAATTCTTTTCACTCTTACTGTCTATTTAATTAACATATTGAGAGCTGGCGACTGAGCCAAGCTTGTCAGGATTTTGACCTTAATAACTATGATAATATAATCAGCTCAGAAGAGATTTTCTTATTTTTCATTTTGTTTTATTCTGCGTGCTTATATTTATTTCCTGCTTTCCTGTTGTTTTCTTCCTGGTAGTTGCTGAGATTAAATACAGAGATATCAGCAGAAGCAGAAACATTGGATGGCAGTGCATGTGTGTGACTTTATATCAGCAAATGTGCGTGTGTGTGTGTGTGTGTGTGTGTGTGTGTGTGTGTGTGCGTGTGAAGCCATAAGAAGTCAACATTGACTGTCTTCTCTCTCTTAACCTTATTTTTTGAATCAAGATGTTTCACTCTCCCTGGAGCTCACCATTTAGCTAGATTTGCAAACCATTCAATCCCCAAGACCCTCCTGGGTTGTGAACTCAGGTCTCCACACTTACATAGCAAGTACTTTACCCACTTAATTATACTCCCTACTACACTTAGTACTATACCCACTTAGTACAGCCCTACAGACAGAGAGAGGAAGTAGTTAGAGCAACGGAAAGTAATTTAGTTCAAAAGCCCACCTGGACAAGAGCTCTGTGCTATAAGTCATGTGACTAAGCTATGGGTCACTTGCATCATATGGCTTTTTTGCTTATATTCTGTACCTTGTAGTTCTTCATACAATATCATGTATTGAATTTCACATTAGCATATTAAATCTCTACCCGAGGGTGTGTGTCTAGTATTATAATTAGTTCCAGGTCACCATCTGACCCTCTAGAGTGTCTCTGTACCTATGCGAGTCAGTTAAGAGTTCCCAATCTTCCCCTTTGCCAAGCAGTTTTCTGCATATGCTATTTCTGTGGCCTTTGTATGAACGTTTTGGACCTCAGTTTTTATTCTCACCAGGATTTGCACATGCTAGGGAAGTGACACTTCTCTGTTCTCTATCTCTACCTCACACTTGTTTCTTTCCAAGTGGGTGAGGTAAGAATAATAGTTTGGAGTAGGATAAACAGAAGTAAGAATTCTGACACAGACCCATTTTTCCTTATTTTTAATTCACTTTTAAGTTAACATTTTCTTACCTATATGTCATTATATGTTTCACTTATTTACACCTCTCCCATATTGTCCTTGCCCATCTTCCCATACTATATTCCTCTGTAGCCCAAGAATCATTTTTTAAGGAGACAAAATGGTTAACACAAACCTCAGATTTTCATTTAAAAAAATGGGAGACAATGAAGTTCACCTATGGAATGGTTTTTTTGAGAATTCAATGAAATGATGAATCTAAATTGTCTGAAGTGAAATAGTACAGTGGGGACTGTCAGATTAATGTTTTCATCCCTTTCTGAGGCTTCCTCCTTTCTCTTTGTAACTTTAGGGACTAGGCACACACACACACACACACACACACACACACACACACACACACACACACACACAGAGAGAGAGAGAGAGAGAGAGAGAGAGAGAGACAGACAGAGACAGAGAGAGACAGAGACAGAGTGAGAGTTATAGACAAAGAGACACAGAGAGAGAGCTATACAAGAGTAGAGCTCTAGGGAGAAAAGAAGAAATATGTTCATTTAAGGGCAGCATCCAATTAATATTGCATTTCTTCATTGCAGTTTATGATGGGACAAAATTTCATCATGTAAGGAAATAAACTAGGTTATCCAGGCCTCCTCACATTTCTCCAGTATGTCCATGATCTGACTGGCTACCCACAGAGCACTTGGCCAAGGAATCCATCTGTGTTTTAGTCTTGGGGTCAACGAAATATTTTTCCATGCTGAGCAGTCAGACTAGGAATCATTCAGCCTAGAAGGATACACACATCTTTAGAGAAAACCCTTGCATGCCACACTAGCTCACTATTCTCTAGCTGCATGACAACAGGCAGACTGATCTTCCAAAGGTCTTAGATATTTTCTCAAGTAACCAACAGGAAGAAATATGAGTTTTCTGATATTATCCACTCACTACTCAATAATTCAAAAATATTACCAAAGATTTGAGGCTCACTTGTTAAGCACCGTAGATTTTACTATGAGTAAAACTAACATGGTCTCAAATTTCATGGCTCCAACAACCTAAGGAAAAAATAAACAAACATTAACCTAAGCTTTGCACAAATGCACATGAGCTCAAATACCAGTAGAAAATAAAGAGTGAAAATTGTTTCTTTGGTCTGATTGAAAAGAAACCCTGCTATCCAGTGTGCTTACCAGGGAAAAGGCGCTATGGAAATAAATACATTACTGAGATGCTATGATGACAACAGAAAAGGAATCAGGTGAGTTTGCTGAGATCTGGGATGTGAAATGGAGCACTGAGAATGTGTGAAAGAGAAGGAAGTCTCCTGACTGGTCAAGGGCCTCTAGAGATAAATGGTCAAGGCGGAATGCAGAACTGAGTTATGATAGACACATGCAGTATTTTGATCAGCATTTGTCAAAGACTAGGACAAGATCCAAAGATTACTAATTTCTCATTAAATTTCCTCTGGAGAAAAGAAACTACATCTTCTGCACAATTTCTACATTTATTGCCTGTGGGATAAGGGGATTTTTCTATTGCATCGAAGTTTTAAGAAAATCCCCAAATGGGAGAGAAAGTATAAAGTATTTATGAAATAGGACTACAATAAGGAACATATCCCACTTCCTGCCCTCCCAAAGCTTAGAAAAAAATATCAATTCCAAGATGTTCATCAATATCCTTGTATTTTTTTTAAATTTTTCTTGGTCTCACATACAGTGTCAGGGGAGAGTCTGGATGCCTGCCCATAGAGATGTTACTATAATTTTGAAGTTGTATATCCCCCAAAAGTCTGTGTATAGAATGACCAGGTAATTCTAAAAGATGCAGGTCCTGTTAAAAGATTCTTAGTATGTTGGAAGCATGCCATCAAATAAGATTATGCAACCAGGGTCACTTTTCTACCTCTCTGCCTGCTAGATTGTGAAGTGAGTCATTTAATCTGGTTCATGTTCCTGGCCACTACCTCTTGGTGCCCTCATCAGACTCCCAAAGCAATGGGCCCATCTGATTTTGGAATGGAATTTACAAAGCCATAGGTTAAAACATATCTTATCTCTTGTAAGTAAACTGTGTCTGGTATTTCATGATAATAAAACAAAGATAACTGATAACAGAAATAAGATAAGTGATATTGTCCCATGAATGATTTAAAATTCCTCCAACTCCTCATCAGGATCTTATACTACAGACTACAGGGCACTCTCTCTTATGCCATAGAATTTGCAAGTCCATAGCCAGGATTCAAGATTAAGTAGTGCTGTTAGACCACAGTCAATGGGAAATGGAAATATTTTTATGTCATTAGAATTTTTGGTTTGGTTGGGGAATTACTGGTGATAAAAACATATTGTCGATATATAATAAAACCATAACAGTCACTAAAAAAACAAACATTTTCAGTCCAGTATTTATAGATTAAACATACCTGGTAACCTGGGTGCCCAGTTTCACAATCCTTCCAATCAAGTTGTCTATGAAGGTCACAATTAATGTCAGCTCCATACAGGGTTAAGCTGCTTCTGAATTCCGCAGTATAATGCAGGAAAACTAAATATCAGCTGGAGACATCAGTTTATTTTCCTGTGGACCTGGACATGAAGATGTTCAAACCATGGCAGTTGACTTCTCTAAAGTCAATGAAGAAAAAAATTAGCAAGAGTGAAGTCACTGTATTTTAGTCACCTATTTGTGGTTGCAATGTTCCCTCATGTCCATAGCATTGTAGTCTCTAAAAATGAGTTCCTGAACCCATCTACACTTAGAGAGAGTAGATTTGGCAAGGGATTGAATGAACACCGGGAAGCTTAAAAGCATCAGTAGCCTTCCTAGAGGCTGCCTACCTAATCCCACTCACACAATCCCTAATGGTTCATAAAAGTGGAAAGACATCATTTAGAAAGAAAAAGGAAATAGGAACAGATCTGAGTGAGGAGTCCTAGATGAAATCTGGCTTCATATGTCTTTCAACATGTTTCTTGCATAACTCATATCACGGAAATGTCCTCCTAACAAAGCTCAACAAAGACCTGAAAGATGACCACAATATAAAAAACATAAATGTCCATTTCTACTCTGCCCCCTAAGCAGAGAAACAAGGTAAATTCAATATGAATTCTCAGTAGGGTTGAGGAAAGCAAGAGTGTATTGGAGGAAAGGTTTATTTTAGGAGCTTCCCCTAAGACTCCAGTCTCACACATGTAATGCATATATCCTACTTTGCAAATTCTGAAGTCCAGAATAACTGCAGTAGCCAAACGTGACAGGATGAGTGAGATAAGACATCAAAAGGACCACTTGTAGCCCAATCTGTTGCGTCAAGAGTCCATGAGTTTTCCATTTATCAACTGGGAAGTGATTGAACCTTTAGGATGGAAGACCTGCTATGAGGTCTTCAAAACATTGTGAATGTGTCTTCAAAGAGATTGATGATGGGCTTCTGGTCTGTCCAGTGATTCTCTTACTTCCTGCCTCATGAGCTAAGCCAGTCACTCTTATCAACATGTACAGCCCTCATCAGAATCCAAACACACAGCGCTGCCCCATGTAAGTATAGTGCCTCCAGAGGTAAACTAGAACTTCTAATTGTTTTTATTCTTTATAAATTTCCCTCTGTGAAAACTCTGTATTAGAAGAGGCCATTAACAGCCATTCTGTCTTAGAAACATAGACGTGGAAGAATGTATCACTAGTTCAGTCTTACATTTATTTTCATCTAACCACACCTGCCTCCCAACTTGAGAAGACAATATCAGAAAAGGAAGAGAAGGAAGAACTAAAGATAGATAACAAGCTTAGTGGATGCTTAAGTGGGTTAGTAGTGACCCAGCGCAGAAATACTAACACTTTGATTAGAGGGAAGACCACAGTTTTAGTGTCTACCATCTGCTTTACTCAGTGCCTGAGCATTGGTCTTATTCATAGAAATGGAACTAACCGGGCTGGAGAGATGGCTCAGCGGTTAAGAGCACTGTGCTGTTCTTCCAGAGGTGCTGAGTTCAATTCCCAGCAACCACATGGTGGCTCACAACCATCTGAAATGAGATTTGGCACCCTCTTCTGGCCTGCAAGCATGCATGTAGGCAGAACAATGTATACATAATAAATAATAAATCTTTAAAAAAAAAAAAAAAAAAAAAAAAGAAAGAAATGGAACTAACCAGAGAAGGGGACTAAATGTATGAAATCCTCTTTTCAGGGCATGAGATGGAGCATGGTCATTGAATTGGTATATTTACGTGTCACTGACAGACTAGTTGAGTTACAAATAAATGAAGGTTCTTTGGACCCACGGTGCTAGCCCAAAATGAAGGTCTTACATCTGCTGGCCTTTTTACTTTCCCCAAGGAAGTGCATGGCATCACATGTCAGGACAGAGGGGCGGCATGTGTGTATGTGTGGCCACATGCTCCTTTGTTCTCTCTTTTTTCTTGAAAAAATGCCAAATCGAAAGCAAATTAAATGTGGTATTTCAAAACCCAAAGACCAATCTATAGTTCCGAATGTATATATACTTAACAATGTTGCTTCAAAAGTTCAGATCAATAATTAACAAAGCTAAAGGAAGAGAGAAAAGTTTGAATCATAGTGAGACAGATAAAACACATGTCTCCCGGAGAGCATAGAAAACAGACAAAGATGAGAAGCAACAGGAACTGCAAGTGCCATCAAATTTCAGCTCTAAACTTGCACCTAGCTACTGGGGAATATGATCTCTATCAAATTCATAGGAAATATTTCTCAGAACATCATGAAAGATAAAAACAAAGTAACCTGCAAATACATCCTTTCTAGGATGTTCGTGGTCAAAGATCATACAAATGGGAGAGCATCCTGTTCAAATCATGACCCTATATAAACTGGCAAAACAAATTCCTAAGCCTTACTGTGATAGCATTTGGTGACAGAAACTTTATTAAGTTGATTAAGGTTAAATAAGGCTAGTTCAGGGTCCGATATGATTCATTTCTTCATAATAAAATGAAAATTGGGACATATAGGGAGACCAAGAGGAAGGGCTATTAAGATCCTGAAAGAAGGTAAGCAACCACAGTCCTCAGAAGAAACTCTGAATCCTTGGTAATCCTTCCTTAAAAACAAAAGTCACCAAGCCAGTGATTATGATAGAGCTTAATAAGCTGTATCCATAATGTGAATTTGCCACAACTCCCTGTTAAGTCTCTTTCAAAACCTGAAGAACACATACCAAATAGGAAGTTATTATGTTCCACCCATCATGATAACACGATCGTTCAATCCTTGTGAATAAATCAATAATTCATTCTGTTGGGTGTTATCCATTATTTATTATCATATGTCAATGCTTTTCATAGAATTCTAAACTTCTTCCATTTTTAAACCCTAAACCCCACAATTAGTAATTGAAATGGAGAATTTTAATTTCATGTTAAAATTCCATAAAATGCAATTGAGGCAGCACCAAGCCCCTCCACCTTGCATCAAGGGTGGAGGCAGGGAGCAGGAGAAGGGATGGGGGGGACCTGTGGTTGCTATGTAAAATGAAAAAAAAAATAAAATTAAAAAAAGAAAATAGAAGTTTATCATACAACAAAAAATTCAATAAAACTAATTAAAATAAGTGAGGCTGAGATTGGCCTGGGGATTTAACATTTTGGAAGAGGACTGTTTTGTTCAAGAACAGAAACGCTGAGAACATTCAATTGCCGGTTACAAAACTGACAATATATTTTTTACAATTATCCAAGGATTTTAAGAGGAAATAAAAATGTCTGTACATTATGAATTTCTATAACCCTGTTAAAAAGAAGTAAAATTGGAAGGAAATGATTTTATTTGGCATTGAAACAGGACTTCACAATTTTACTAATTGGAGGTTCTTTTTTTCCCATCTTTTTCAATTCGGGGAACATGAAGGTAATCAGCGTGTGGCCAATCACCTGATTATATAAAACTTAGCTAAGGAAACAGTGATTGACGCTTGATTATTACTGAAAAGGATACAGAAATAGTAACTATGTGCTAATATAAAAAATTACAGGATTTACATGCATAACTGAGGAAAATACTTAATAACAAAGTGCAGAACAACATAATGCTAAATTATTGACCAGGATTAACTATCAGATATGTTGTCTATCAAATGACATGGGGAAAGGAGGGTGAAAGAATTACAGGGTTACTGAGCCATACAATGAAATATTTGTCTCTGACGTCTTTTGGTGCTTGTGTGGAGATCAAAATTATTACAGTA